TTCCAAGGAGTTAGCGTCTTTTAATTTCATGGCTGCAGTCACTATCTGCAGTGATTTTGGAGCCACCAGAAATAAAGTCAGCCACTGTTTCCACTGTTTCCCCATCTCTTTGCCATGAAGTGATGGGACCAGATGCCATGTTCTTAGTTTTCTGAATGTTGAGCTTTATCCCAACTTTTTCACTCTCCTCTTTCACGTTCATCAAGAGACTCTTTAGTTCTTCTTCACTTTCTGCCATAAGGGTGGTGTCATCTGGATATCTGAGGTCATTGATATTTCTCCCGGCAATCTTGATTCCAATTTGTGCTTCTTCCAACCCAGCGTTTCTCATGGTGTACTCTGCATATAAGTTAAATAAGCAGGGTGACAATATACAGCCTTGACGTACTCCTTTTCCTATTTGAAACCAGTCTGTTGTTTCATGTCCAGTTCTAACTGTTGCTTCCTGACCTGCATACAGGTTTCTCAAGAGTCAGGTCAGGTGGTCTGGCATTCCTATCTCTTTCAGAATTTTCCACAGTTTATTGTGATCCACACAGTTAAAGACTTTGGCATAGTCAATAAAGCAGAAGTAGATGTTTTTCTGGAACTCTCTTGCTTTTTCGATGATCCAGCAGATGTTGGCAATTTGATCTCTGGTTCCTCTGCCTTTTCTAAAACCAGCTTGAACATCTGAAAGTTCACGGTTCACGTGTTGTTGAAGCCTGGCTTGGAGAATTTTGAGCAGTACTTTACTAGCATGTAAGATGAGTGCAATTGTGCGGTAGTTTGGGCATTCTTTGGAATTGCCTTTCTTAAAAATTGGAATGAAAACGGACCTTTTCCAGTCTTGTGGCCACTGCTGAGTTTTCCAAATTTGCTGGCATACTAAGTACAGCACTTTCACAGCATCATCTTTTAGGATTTGAAATAGCTCAACTGGAATTCCACCACCTCCACTAGCTTTGTTTGTAGTGATGTTTCCTAAGGCCCACGTGACTTCACATTCCAGGATGTCTGGCTCTAGGTTAGTGATTACACCATCGTGATTATCTGGGTCATGAAGATCTTTTCTGTAGAGTTCTTCTGTGTATTCTTGCCACCTCTTCTCAATATCTTGTGCTTCTGTTAGGTCCATACTATTTCTGTCCTTTACTGAGCCCATCTTTGCATGAAATGTTCCCTTGGTATCTCTAATTTTCTTGAAGAGATCTCTAGTCTTTCCCATTCTATTGTTTTCCTCTATTTCTTTACACTGATCGCTGAGGAAGGCTTTCTTATTTCTCCTTGCTATTCTTTGGAATTCTGCATTCAAATGGGTATATCTTTCCTTTTCTCCTTTGCTTTTCACTTCTCTTCTTTTCACAGCTATTTGTAAGGCCTCCTTAGACAGCCATTTTGCTTTTTTGAATTTCTTTTTCTTAGGGATGATCTTGATCCCCATCTCCTGTACAATGTCAGAAACCTCTGCCCATAGTTCATCAGGCACTCTATCAGATCTAGTCCCTTAAATCTATTTCTCACTTCCATGTATAATCATAAGGGATTTGATTTAGGTCATACCTGAATGGTCTAGTAGTTTTCCCCACTTTCTTCAATTTTAGTCTGAATTTGGCAATAAGGAGTTCATGATCTCAGCCATAGTCAGTTCCTGGTCTTATTTTTGCTGACTACATAGAGCTTCTCCATCTTTGGCTGCAAAGAATATAATCAATCTGATTTTGGTGTTGACCATCTGGTGATATCCATGTGTAGAGTCTTCTCTTGTGTTGTTGGAAAAGGGTGTTTGCTGTGACCAGTGCGTTCTCTTGGCAAAACTCTTTTAGCCTTTGCCCTGCTTCATTCTGTACTCCAAGGCCAAACGTGCCTGTTATTCCAGGGGTTTCTTGACTTCCTCCTTTTGCATTCCAGTCCCCTATAATGAAAAGGACATCTTTTTTGGGTGTTAGTTCTAAAAGGTCTTGTAGGTCTTCATAGAACTGTTCAACTTCAGCTTCTTCAGCATTACTAGTCAGGGTATAGACTTGGATTACCATGACATTGAATAATTTGCCTTGGAAACAAACAGAGATCATTCTGTCATTTCGGAGATTGCATCCAAGTACTGCATTTTGGACTCTTTGTTGACTATCATGGCTTCTCCATTTCTTCTTAGGGATTCCGGCCCACAGTAGTAGATATAATGGCCATCTTAGCTAAATTCACCCATTCCAGTCCATTTTAGTTCACTGATTCCTAGAATGTCGACATTTGCTCTTGCTATCTCCTGTTTGACCATTTCCAATTTGCCTTGATTCATGGACCTGACATTCCAGGTTCCTATGCAATGCTACTCTTTACAGCACTGGACCTTGCTTCTATCACCAGTCATATCCACAACTGGGTGGTGTTGTTGCTTTGGCTCCATCCCTTCATTCTTTCTGGAGTTATTTCTCTACTGATCTCCAGTAGCATATTAGGCACCTACCGACCTGGGGAGTTCATCTTTCAGTGTCCTGTCTTTTTGCCTTTTCATACTGTTCATGGGGTTCTCAAGGCAAGAATACTGAAGTGGTTTGCCATTCCCTTCTCCAGTGGACCACATTCTGTCAGAGCTCTTCACCATGACCCGTCCATCTTGGGTGGCCCCACGTGGCATGGCTTACATTGAGTTAGACAAGGCTGTGGTCCATGTGATCAGACTGGCTAGTTTGCTGTGATTGTGGTTTCCGTCTGTCTGCCCTCTGATGCCCTCTCTTAGCGCCTACTGTCTTACTTGGGTTTCTCTTAACTTGGACATGAGGTATCTCTTCACGGCTGCTGAAAGGTCAATAGATTTAAGAATAGATAGCCATTTAAAAAATTAGATCTATAAATGAATCTATTTTAAACAATATATTGCTAAATCCAAAAGTTATAAGAGGAACAATGCTTTTAAAAAATAAAAATTTGTATATGTCAGAAAAACTCTGGAAGAATAACCAAAATAGATTACATTAAGAGACTGAGATAAGAGATGATTTTATAAAATTTTAGTCTAACCTTCCTACATATAAAAAATAATTTTTAACTCTTTTTATTAAATTACTCAAATCGCTAGGTATTTCTTGGCACTAAGAAGCCAAGTAAACAAAAAACTGACAAGATTTTATTTCATATTTTTAGTCTACAATCTGTGATTAATTAATGTTTTATTTATTCTTTAAAATTAGGTATACATTGTAACTCCAACTATTTTTCTAACTACATACTTAAAAAACTAAAAAATATAGCCAAATATTACTAGTGTTATCTAAGAACAGTTTAATCACTTAATGGGATTCTCATTTTCTCCCTTCTATATTCTCCATTTTCCAAATTCTCTGCAATGGTTACAAACCACTTTAAAAATAGAACAGTGGTTTATAATAGCCAAGACATGGAAGCAACCTAGATGCCCATCAGCAGACCAATGGATGAGGAAACTGTGGTACATATACACCATGGAATATTACTCAGCCATTAAAAAGAATTCATTTGAATCAGTTCTAATGAGATGGATGAAACTGGAGCCCATTATACAGAGCAAAGTAAGCCAGAAAGATAAAGACCATTACAGTATACTAACACATATATGTGGAATTTAGAAAGATGGTAACGATGGCCCTATATGCAAAACAGAAGAGGAGACTCCGATGTATAGAGCAGACTTGTGGACTCGGGGAGAAGGCGAGGGTGGGATGTTTCAAGAGAACAGCATCGAAACACGTATGTTGTCTGGGGTGAAGCAGATCACCAGCCCAGGTTGGGTGCATGAGACAAGTGCTCGGGCCTGGTGCACTGGGAAGACCCAGAGGGATCGGGTGGAGAGGGAGGTGGGAGGGGGGACCGGGATGGGGAATACATGTAGATCCATGGCTGGTTCATTTCAGTGTATGACAAAAACCACTGCAATGATGTAAAGTAATTAGCCTCCAACTAATAAAAATAAATGAAAAAATAAATAAATAAAATTAAAAAAAATAATAAATAAAATAAAAAGTGAAAAAAAAAAAAATAGAACAGTGGGGACGTCACTGGTGGTCCCATGGCAGAGACTCTGCGCTCTCAACGCAGGAGGCCTGGGTTAGATTCCTGGTTGGGGAACTAGATCCCACATGCTACAGCTAAAGAACATCCATGCTGCAAAAAAAAATCAAAGAGCCTGCATGCCACAACTAAAATGCAGTGCAGACAAATAAAATTTAGAAAATAATACAATGGACTTTAAGTTACATATATGTAACACAGATATACATTTACACTATGTTTTTAAAATAGGTAGTAAAAAATAAATATATCAAATTATTTATAATGGTTATTGCTGGCAAGTGATGGTTTTTCTTATTTCTTTTAGTTGTCTATGTTCCAATTTTCTTAGAAGAACCATGCAAATTTATAATGAAACAACTGAACTATATTTTCATAAACAGAAGGATACAGATGAAATTCTAAGTTATCAAGAATGAAAATCACACCTTTCTTTTACATCTTTCAGAACTATAAGTTAACAGAGATTTAAATCATTTAGTTTTCTAACATTGATGATGTTTAATTCTTTCTAATTGTAGACTTTTCAATGTATGGTATCACAAATTACTTTTTAGGCCACAAATCTTAAAACATTAAAAGTTGACAAAAATTGAAGAAAAAATGCTGTGTATGGATATTATATGTATTGTGTGTGTGTGTGTGTGTGTGTGTGTGTGTGTGGTCCCAGCAACAACTATTGGCTACTATTATTGGCTTACAGATTGAAAAGACTACCAAGTTACAAAATAATATATATGTTGACAGTTCTGACAGGAATAATTTTTTATACCTTAAATAAACATATTTTGGGTACTACTATATATTTTAACTTTAATGCCTAAATAAACCTTTGTTTCATGTCTAAAAATATAAAAAAGGAGGTGAGAAACAGACAATTCAGAGTAATAACTCACTTTGAGTTGCTTATCTCTAATCCATTAGAAATGGAATACATTAAATTCTTTCTACATTATCATAAAAACACTTCTTACCTGCCAGTAACAAACTGCAAGAGAAGAACTCTCTCCTCTGGAGTAATACCTTCCACAACTTCCCAGAACCACTAAAAACAACAACAAAAAACTAAACTCACATTTCAGAGCAATTGTAGGCTTCTTAGTACCAGAGCAATATGCAATATTCATAAAGCATATTTTATTCTATGAAACTCATTTATAAAAAAAGACTTCATACAAAGCTTTCATATGGAATTCCCTTGAGAATAATTTAGGGAAAACCTTTACTTTGTTAATTAATACAGGTTTTCATTCAATAGTGCTGAAAAGCTTATAAGATTAAATGGCTAAACTTAACTTCATTCTAAGCTCTAGAGAGATTTTACCTGAATAACTGGATCTTCTCTTTCATAGCCACTTGTGTATTCTGTATTTTTTATCCAATCACTCACATCAATTTCTGGCATGCCAGAAAGCAGTAGCTCCTTTGGGAAAGAAGAAAAATATTGCATTAATCTTCTTTGGGGGAAAAAAGAGATTACATTTAAATAGCAAATTTGTCTTAATTAGAAACTAATCCCATGTAAAACTGATTTATTTCTGTGAAAGTGTCTGCATGTTATCAGTAACAAGTACTACATGGTAAAGAACCCTTGATACTGATAATCACAAATATTGTGAGAAGTGGAGATGTCGCTACACTAATACAATTTAATTAAAACATAAGCGATAATCCTTCATGTTTATATAGAAACACATATGCCACAAGTTTATATGTGCAACAATTTTATGAACATTATTTTTTTTGGTTTATATATATTTTATGAATTTGTTAACTTTTATAAAGATACTATACTCTCAATATAGAAATAACAGAGACCTAAATAAATCTGAGTTAAGCAAAGAAAAAGATCAAGAAACTCTAATCACTAGAAAAAAGAAGTTATAATAAAAAGTTAATTTTTAAAAGTATCAAAACAGATTTAGGCCTTAGAGGTACTCTATTCTGAAATAATTTCAATCCTTTAAAGTCAAATTTCCATAAGGTAAAAAAAACACAATTTTCCTACTAATGACTTTTGGTATCCTTTTTTTCAGGAAGATCATCAAACAAACAAAATATCAATCAAATAACTAAGAATGAAATTAAGAATGGCAAATGTATGTAAATCCATGGCTAATTCATTTCAATGTATGACAAAACCCACTGCAATGATGTAAAGTAATTAGCCTCCAACTAATAAAAATTAAAAAAAAAAAAAAAGAATGGCAAAAGTATTTTACCATAGTATTCCTCAAGTGAAAACAGAACATGAGAAAAGCTTGTCCACAGCTCTGAATCAAACCATATCTCACAGTTGCATGGGTTTACTCAATAAAGTAAGGCAATAACTAGCCTACGCTCAACACTGACAAGCCAGAACAGCAGATTTTGTTATTGCACAGAAAGATACAATGTGATTCAGAGTCACTTCTCCTATAGCAACTCCTCAAAAATATGTAAGGTATATATATAGAGTGTGCTCTGAAAAAGATTAACGGAGGTCAATATAGGGTGGTGTCTGAGAAATCTTGGGTGTTTGAGATCTATTCAAGGAGTCTGCAAGGTTCTCCCTTTTCCAACTGAGGCTGAATTTTCTCTATATATTTCAGTTAAACAACATATCACAACAGATTATAAGCAGAAACAGATATGAGAACCCAGTTTCTTCTATGAAGCCAGACATTAAATTTGGAAAGATAAAAAACAATAATACTTTCCCACTATTTATGTTTTATTCTGGAAAATAAATAGTTTTATTTATTTTTTAGCTTTAATTTCTTAAATCTTATTTATGTTAATATGTAATTGTTATTCTTATTTGAGCTAATAAAATATTTTATATTTCTGTTCAAATTTAAAATATCAATTACTATAACCAACATAAACTCTTTTCTTATAAGGGGTCTTAAGACCAAATAATTTAATAATTGCCTGTCTAGGGTGTCTTTTAGTCCTCCGTACTAAGTATTTGGCTATGGTCAATACTTTAGCCACCTGATGTGAAGAACTGACCCATTAGAAAAAGACCTGATGCTGGGAAAGGGTGAAGGCAGGAGGAGAAGGGGACAACAGAGGACAAGACGGTTGGATGGCATCACCGACTTGATGGACATGAGTTTGAGCAAGCTCCAGGAGTTGGTGATGGACAAGGAAGCCTGGCATGTTGCAGTCCATGGGGTCGCAAAGAGTTGGACACAACTGAGCAAACTAAACTGGCTGACCATAGTATTATAAAATGCTTTAACTGATGAAGGCATTCTGGTAGGGTCCATTTACCACCCCCAAATACATTTTCCATCTTCCTTTGCATATTCTGTGCCCCAAATGGCTGATCCCTGCAGACTGGCTCTCTTGCCTGTTGGCCTCAGATTGGGTTCCATCACTGGGAAACAGGCAGGAGTCTGAAGGTGAGAGTATATTCTGCTCCTTCCCTCCTCCAGTACATCTTTGCAGTAGCTATGCCTCCTCAACTATAGCTACCACCTGGTGATTCAGACTCACACAGGGCTCCTCACAGCAATTCCTCCACGTGTCTTCAATTTTAGGGATGATAAAGGCTTTCTCCTGTTGCTATTCTCTCAAGCATATCTTGTTTATTCTTAACCTACCCAAGCCTCTGTAAGTTCCTTCATTAACGTTTCTTTATTTGAAGCATCTAGGGAAATTCTGTTCCCTGGCACTACCCTGATACAGATCTGCCAAAAAAGGAATATGGATGATTGTTGCATGTTTCTCACAATCCATGAGTTTAATCCTCTTCCCTTCTAGGCTGAAGATAAGCTTTTAATAATATTGAGTATGCTTTCATTGTTAATAATTGTGAATAAAAATGAGACTACATTCTCTCAAGGAACTTGAAGTATTTCACGAACATCATATGTTATGATTTTGTGACGGGAACAAAATATCCTTATTAGCTCATTTAACACTTGGGGGGGAAGTTATTAAGTTGACTAAAAGAAGATGAAATTGGAAGTACACAATAAAAAATATCAATACATATACATATAGCAAAAGACTTTAGTCCAAATCAACAATTTATTATTTTTTAAAATATGACAAAACAATTGATCTTTTGGAATCGGGTACAAAATATATATCCCAAAAACTAACAGTCAGAAACTGAGTCATGCTAGTGTTCACAGCCGCTAGTTTACCTCGTATTCACAGGGCTCAGCGTTTTAATATCCTGGTACCACCATGGATAAACTCATAAGCAGCACAGTATGGCAGGACAGTCCCTCAGACATTTGAGGAACCCTTCAACTGTAATAATACTATAGATATAGTAATCACAACAATGTTGTCACCATTTTTGAACCTGATGATCATCTCTTGACTTGAGACTGCATTCTGTCCACAAATTGAGGAATACATCTCAATTTGTAAGGACACTGATGCTACTAGATACTTTCTTTTCATGAAAACTCTAGAATCCAACCTGTATCTTTAATTCTGATGAACATGTTTATGCCGTGAACTTAGATGAAATGAACTTAGATATTTTAGCCAACTTTTTTCAAAAAAAGTTTCCTATCCCAGTGTAGCCTGTAGAGCCCTTTCCTATGAAAGACACACAAGTCGTAAAAAAGATTCCAAATCCAAGTCTCATTTGTAACTCACACCACTGAGAGGCAATACTGATGGAGAGAATGGGCTATGGGTCAGAGAACACGGTTCACAGTCTGGCTGTAACACATACTCTGTGAATGTGGGCAAGTCCCATACCTTCTTTGGCTTAGTTTTCCTCATCTATAAAATGAGAATAGCATATGATGTGAAGGGGTCTGATGTAAAGGTTTTAAAAGTTAATACACATGAAGTACCTGGCAAATACTAAGTGTTTAATAATCATCATCATCATCATTACTGCATAAGTCAGTGTCATGCTAACAACAGTGCTCTTCCCAAACAATCTCACCATCTGAATCAGCTCACTTAGTATAGCCAGAGTCTAAGACAGACTAGGAATCCTGACCTACCTTCTAATATGTGAACCACAATTAAAAACTTAGCAGTAACAGACTCAAAAGTGAAAGACAAAGGAATTAAATATTCAGAAGGAAACACAAGAAAATACTTTCATGACCTTGGAATAAGAAACAATTTCTTAAATAGGACACAAAAGTTCCATTCATTTAAAACAAAAAAAGAACAAATAATAAAGTGAACTGTGTTAAATCTAAAAATTGTAAGACACCAGAAAAGAAGATATTCACAATACATATATCTAACAAAGACTCCTGTAAGGGATTATATAAAACCTCCTACTGCTGCTGCTAAGTCACTTCAGTCATGTCTGATTCTGTGCGACCCCAAAAATGGCAGCCCACCAGGCTCCTCTGTCCCTGGGATTCTCCAGGCAAGAATACTGGAGTGGGTTGCCATTCCCTTCTCCAATGCATGCATGCTAAGTCCCTTCAGTTGTGACCAACTCTGTGCAACCCCATGGACAGCAGCCCACCAGGCTCCTCTGCTCACAGGATTCTCCAGGCAAGAATACTGGAGTGGGCTGCCATTTCCTTCTCCTCAAGACGTCTACAAATCAGTGTAAAAAAGAAAAAACAAAAAAAAGAATGCAATAGAATAACAAATTACGTCAATAAACACTTCAAAATCAGAGTATATAAATGGCCAATAAACATAAAATATACTCAATCTCACTGATCATCCGAGAAATGCAAATTAAAATCATAAAGAAATACCAATACTCTACACCAGAATGGTAAAAATAAAAAAAGACAGAGAAATAACAAAAGCTGGCTAGGATACAGAATACCCAGAACTCATATACCTGTTGGTGGGAGTGTAAACTGACACAATACTTTGGAAAACTACTTGCTAGTATCTACTCTAATGGAATAAATGCATAGCCAAAATCCCAGCAATTCCACTCCAAGACATATAATCTACAGAATGCATACGTATGTTCTCCTAAAGACATGTACTAGTGTTTGTAGCAGAACCAGTTTAAACAGTCTGAAACTGAGAAGTACCCACCAAATGTTCACCAAGAGTAGAAAGGACAGACAAAAAAAAGTAGACTGACACAATGAAGTACTATAGAGCAATAAAAAGGAACACATTACAACTGCATGCAACAGTACAAATGATTCTCACAAACAAAAAGTTGTGCTAAAGAAGTCAGACATATTCTAGGTGACTATTCTGTTTACATTAAGTTCAAAAACAAGTAACCTAACCTATATCATTACAAATCAGGAGAGTGGATACCCATGAGGGGAAAGTGACTGGAAGAAAACATGAGAAGGATCTAGGGTATTAGGATTTCTCAGTATCTTGATCCGGATGCGATGCTATTTCATGGGTGTACACAGTGTGAAAATTCATCAAGCTATATATTTATAGCATGTTAGGGTTAGGTTATACTTTTCTCATGTATACTGTAACTCAATAAGAAGTTTCATAAAACTTATCAGCATCAATAAATTATGAGGCAAAGTTTTTGTCAATTATCTGTACTGTTTCTATTTGTTTTTTATACACTGGTCCAGAAAAATAATATACTTTTCTGTTTAATACTCATAAGTACACCTCCATTTTTGAATGCTTTTGGGTATGCAAAAACTATATGCTCCTATGCTAAAGAAAACCATTCATCCTAAATCTAAAAACAGGGACAAAACACTCAAAGCTGATATTTAGTGAAACTAAGTCACCATGGCCTTCCACATTATTTATTAAATTTTCTCCACTACTATATTATGATATACTATGAGTGATAAATTCAAAATACTGCTATAAGTAAAATTAACCAGCACACACCAATGTATTTATTTATGTATTAAAATGAAAGGCACAGGGTGAAACTAACTCATGAGACAGAATAAAAACCAATGAATTCTTTTCCATCGACCTAAACTTTATTATTCCAAATTATACTTTTTAAACTAAGATAACAGCTATACTCTATTTAAAACACAGTATGGTTTTATTTTTTATTTTTTTTTTCATTTATTTTTATTAGTTGGAGGCTAATTACTTTACATCATTGTAGTGGTTTTTGTCATACATTGAAATGAATTAGCCATGGATTTACATGTATTCCCCATCCCGGTCCCCCCTCCCACCTCCCTCTCCACCCAATTCCTCTGGGTCTTCCCAGTGCACCAGGCCCGAGCACTTGTCTCATGCACCCAACCTGGGCTGGTGATCTGTTTCACCCTAGATAATATACGTAAAACACAGTATGGTTTTATTAAGACGTTAGATAACTCAAGAGTTTGAAAACAATTTAACACCAAAAATAAAATAGAGGAAAAGAAATGGGGGAAAATGCAGACATAAATCATATAAAATCATAACTGCTAGATCACAGTAAAAAGCAGGCAAATTAAAGAAGCAAAACAAACATTCATTAGAGACTAGAGACAAGCAAAGACAGTGGACTCCATACAGGCTTAAGACGGAAAATTACTAACTTATATATAAGATGAAACAAGCTGGAGAAGATAACATAAATATAACAAGAAAATTCTTCTATCAATTTTTCTTTTGGGAAGTACAAGAAGTTTCCTTTACCAAATAAAAAAATTCAGAAATAATATAAACAATGCCTCTGGGAAGACTGGCCTTCATCATCTCCCATATGGAACACTTTGGAAATATATTCCATTTTTGTTAATCACCACCTATACTCTACTTCTCATTAAGAACTGCTAACCTAGTTATTAACCTTTAGAGAAGCACAATCACAAATCTTACGACTCCCTAAACATGAACATTTTAATGGTTTACCATATCTTCTACATTATTCCATTCATTATTGTGCACTAAAATTATTTCTGCTGCTGCTGCTGCTGCTAAGTAGCTTCAGTCGTGTCCAACTCTGTGCGACCCCATAGATGGAAGCCCACCAGGCTCCACCATCCCTGGGATTCTCCAGGCAAGAACACTGGAGTGGGTTGCCATGTCCCTCTCCAATAAAATTATTTCCAAATTACATCAAATGGAGTTTTGTGTTGTAACAGCAAAAGAACTGATGCTTTTCCTTACCAATTCGTATTCATCAAAAAGTTGTATGAGGGATGGTGGAATGAACATATGAAAGCCCTGTAAAAAAGCATTGATCTGAGGCTGAATGGCTCTTGTCATCCGCAGTTCTGTGACAAGCTGGACGTACTCCGCCTATTTAAAAAAAAAGGTTTCTGCGATTATTTTTTTTTTTAATTTCACATACTTAAGATACTACTGACCATTTCTCATTTTAGAAATAAAGGTTTAGAATTAATTTGGCACCAATGTTCACACATCTCAGCAAAACAGTAATCTATTGTTCACTAAGCTGTTTAGGCCAAAATCCTAGGAGTCAATCATCCAGGTTTCTCTCACACCTTCTGTCAGCGAGTGCTATCACCTCTATCTTCAAAAAATATTCTCAGTCAGGCCTTGTGGCATCACCTCCACTTGTGGCACCCTGGTTCAAGCCATCATCATCTCTCACCTGGACATTAGACTATCTGGTGTCACTGCTACCATGTTTGCCTCTGTGTTGCTTCCTCTCCACATCAGAGCGACTTTTTAAACTATGTGTGTATATATATATATATTTTATATATAATTCAGATCACATAACCCTCTTTCAAAAACCCTACAATGACTTCCCACGACACTTGGAGTAAAGTCCAAATTCCTTCCCTAGTCCATAAGGCCCCAAACGACCCACCCTCTGCCTTACACTCTCATCGCATTTCCTTCCACTTTCCCCTTTGTTCCCTCACTCTGTCCCCCAAACACAGCTTGCTCAGATCTCACCGTCTGTATACTTACTGCTTTTTTTTTTCCTTAAATGTCTCATTAGACTGTAATCTCTCTGCAAGCAGAGGTTCTGTTTTGTTTACCAGTATATATCCTCAGCTCTTCCTCAGTGATCAGTGCAAAGAAATAGAAGAAAACAATAGAATGGAAAAGACTAGAGATCTCTTCAAGAAAAAAGATACCAAGGGAACATTTCATGTAAATATGGACACAATAAAAGACAGAAGTGGTATGGACCTAACAGAAGCAGAACATATTAAGAAGAGGTGGCAAGAATCCATGGCTGATTCATGTCAATGTGTGACAAGACCCACTGCAATACTGTGGAGTGATTAGCCTCCAACTAATAAAGATGAATGAAAAAAAAAAAATTAATTTAAAACAATTTTTAAAAATAAAATTAAAAAAAAAAAGAATATACAGAAAAACTATACAAAAAAGATCTTCATGACCCAGATAATCACGATGGTATGATCACTCACCTAGAGCCAGACATCCTGGAATGTGAAGTCAAGTGGGCCTTAGGAAGCATCACTACGAACAAAGCTAGACGGAATTCCAGTTGAGCTATTTCAAATCCTAAAAGATGATGCTATGAAAGTGCTGCACTCAATGTCAGCAAATTTGGAAAACTCAGCAGTGGCCACAGGACTGGAAAAGGTCAGTTTTCATCCAATCCCAAAGAAAGTCAATGCCAGTTCAGTTCAGTTCAGTTCAGTCGCTCAGTCGTGTGACTCTTTGCAAGGTAATGCCAAAGAATGCTAAAACTACCGCACAATTGCACGCATCTCACATGCTAGCAAAGTAATGCTCAAAATTCTCCAAGCCAGGCTTCAACAATATGTGAACCGTGAACTTCCAGATGCTCAAGCTGGTTTTAGAAAAGGCAGAGGAACCAAAGATCAAATTGCCAACAGCCGCTGGATCATTGAAAAAGCAAGAGAGTTGAAGAAAACATCTATTTCTGCTTTATTGACTATGCCAAAGCTTATTGTCTGGATCACAATAAACTGTGGAAAATTCTGAAAGAGATGGGAATACCAAACCACCTGACCTGCCTCTTGAGAAATCTGTATGCAGGTCAAGAAGCAACAGTTAGAACTGGACATGGAACAACAGACTGGTTTCAAATAGGAAAAGGAGTATGTCAAGGCTGTATATTGTCACCCTGCTTATTTAACTTATATGCAGAGTACATCATGAGAAACGCTGGGCTTGATAAAACACAGGCTGGAATCAAGACTGCTAGGAGAGATACCAATAACCTCAGATATGCAGATGACACCACCCTTCTGGCAGAAAACGAAGAACTAAAGAACCTCTTGATGAAAGTGAAAGAGGAGAGTGAAAAAGTTGGCTTAAAGCTCAACATTCAGAAAACTAAGATCATGGCATCTGGTCCCATCACTTCATGGCAAAGAGATGGGGAAACAGTGGAAACAGTGGCTGACATTATTTCTGGTGGCTCCAAAATCACTGCAGATAGTGACTACAGCCATAAAATTAAAAGACACTTACTCCTTGGAAGGAAAGTTATGACAAACTTAGACAGCATATTAAAAAGCAGAGACATTACTTTGCCAACAAAGGTTCATCTAGTCAAAGCTATGGTTTTTCCAGTAGTCATGTATGGATGTGAGAGTTGGACTGTAAAGAAAATTGAGCACAGAAGAATTGATGCTTTTGAACTGTGGTATTGGAGAAGACTCTTGAGAGTCCCTTGGACTGCAAGGAGATCCAACCAGTCCATCCTAAAGGAGATCAGTCCTGGATATTCATTGAAAGGACTGATGTTGAGGCTGAAAGTCCAATACTTTAGCCACCTGATGTGAAGAGCTGAAAAATCTGAAAAGACCCTGATGCTGGGAAAGATTGAAGGCAGGAGGAGAAGGGGACGACAGAGGATGAGATGGTTGGATGGAATCACCAACTCAATGGATATGAGTTTGAGTAAACTCCAGGAGTTGGTGATGGACAGGGAGGTCTGGCGTGCTGCAGTCCATGCGGTTGCAAACAGTCAGACAGGACTTAACAACTGAACTGAACTGAACTGATCCTCGGCTCTTAAAAATGTGGCTGCCGCTTTCTGTTCAACAAATAACGTGATGAATATACATTCAATAAATTCATTTAAAACACACTTTGAACTTGATCAAATGACTCAATTAAGTGCAGCTTATTCTGAGTTAAACAACAACATTCTAAGTTACGGTAAGCTATTTTGACACATTTAAAATATACATCATCAAGAATAGTGTCACTTAAAATTTTACTAGCAGTAAAAAATGTATTTTGGCTCAGATCAAAGTGAATGACCATATCTCTCTGCATATAAACCCTATCATTGTTATTATTCGTGCATGTGTGTGTTAGTAGCTCAGTCATGTCCAACTCTTTGCGACTCCATGGACTGCAGCACACCAGACTCCTCTGTCCACAGAATTCTCCAGGCAAAAATACCAGAGTGGGTTGCCAGTTCCCATTATTACCCATCTAGGTGAAACTTCAAGAATTAAAAGCAATATGTATATAGTTCTCACCTCCCAGGAACGAATGCTCTAAACACACATAGAGAAAGCCTATTTTAGGCCCCTTCTTTTAATCTTTTTTTGGGGGGTTATTAATCTGACACTGTTCCCCTCAACCCCTAAAAAATACCCACAAGCACTGAGCCAACACGTTGTACGTGACTCCAGCTATGAATTCTTCATACATCTCAGAGCTACAGAAATGTCACAATGGATTGCTCACAGCTTCCCCCAACCCTGCATGGCTCCTTCTGCAATCTGGCATGAGAAAAGCTACCATCTATTACCATCTATATACTATGCTACCAATCTACTCTCACTCCAAATCCCACTCCCAACCACTCAAAGGTTTTCTCCATTGAATAGGAATTAATCAGATTCTACAAGTTACATCCAGGTATTTAGAGAGAGGGGGGCATAGAAACATGTGCCAATCAAACAGAAACACAAACTGAATCTTCAGGATCCAATCTAAGAAATAAAATATACACATAATAACTACCTACCAATGATTTTTGCACTAACACATGATTATCTTTTAATTGATGTCTGCTCTAACTAAACTGCTTAATGAAAATACTAAAAATTTTTCTGCTCCATTCATTAATTATATATTTCTCTCAAGAGATTTTGCTTTTGTTATCTTAAGGTACTATTCACTTGAGTCATTAATCAACACCTCAAATTATGAAGCAAGAACTGCTCAAGTATAGTTTTATCTATTTTAATTTGCCACTGCATTCCATATTTATCTGAATAGTACATATTTTCTATCAATTAATTCCTATTTTCCACATACATTCTATTTTAAAAAATTAATTTTCACAAATATACTTTTCCCACACTTATTTTTGCAGCTCTGGTCCATAGTTATTGAATACCAGTTTGTGAAAAATCAGTTCCTTCAAATCCCAGTCTCCATATTAATTTAAATATGGAGAACTACTAACCTAATCTGTCAGATCATAGATTTTGCTGTTACTATGTACTTTTACTTAGACCCCATGTATGGACGCACCTAGACTTGCTAGGAGCCGAAAGTTACAAGAGCATGTTTGGGAGTGAGGCGGAGCTCTAGCTCCGGGAATGTCTCTCAGGCTAGAGGTCACTCTCTTGGCAAAGTGAGTCCAATCTATGTGGGTAGAAGCCCTGCTGGTGACCATGACCATGTTTTGAGGACACAGATGGGGAGCTACAGGATCTGGTAAGACTGGAAATGCAACAGGCTTCTTCCTTTTGCTATCACATATACCAGCGTGATGACACTCAGAAGGGACATCTTGATTGCTGCTTGTCCCTTTATAACTCACCACTTCTCCTGCGGTCAGGACTGGACTCAGACATGAGCACAGGCACACAGAACACAGATGCTTCCCCTAGTAGCACTAGCTTGGGAAACATTCCAGGAAAGCTACTCTGTTACACTCTGCGTGGCATCAGGGAAAAGGTCAAATCAAACAAAGGTCCTGGTGGTAAGGAACTAAATCATTCTGGGATGACACTGAGTCTACCCCTGGTGCATCTCCACCCTGCCTTGGTGGTAGAACCGGAAGGGACAAGTAAGGCGCCTGTGTGGGTAAGGGAGAGACTAAGTCCAACCAGGGAAGGAAAGTTTCAGTGGAAAGTCTGTCTACACCCCCATCTAGAGCAGGGAAGGATGCCTCTGGTGGAAAGAAGCGATGGGTGTGGATGCTGCTTTTTTCTCTCTTACAGATAGGAGCTAACAATTACTGAACCACTCCTTTAAAATGCGTTTTAAAAACTGGGACAAGTTTGATCCCCAGAGTTTAAAAAAGACACTCCTGATCTTCTATGATACTGAATGGCCACAGTATCCTTTGG